CTGTTTTGACTGTAATCGATGCTAAAATGCCGTAGCTGAAGAAGACTCTAATTAACCATCTATGTTTGTAGAATTATACCAAAAGGACGCTCCACAAGGACATTTCGGATTCTTGTTTCAGCGTCCATATAGTTCAGATGGCAAATAACAAAAGTAGTATGGCCAATCGTGTGAACAACAGCACAGTGATGGTGGCAATCATAGTGGCACTCAGTGTTCACCCATCATGGGCCACAGTGTGAGGCAGCAATTAAATATAAATATTTTTATAGCCTAGTGCCCATCAGTAGCTCAGTGGTGTAATGGATATGCGGTGCACGATCGTTGTTATTAAGCAAGTTTCGCAGGGGTCGGCCACGGCATGAGTGACCAAAAAATTATTACTTCGAGCTACTCTGTGCTTCGGAACGCAAATTAAGCCGTTGGTCCCGGTTGCATTTGAATACCTTGCAATCCGCATTTGCCTTAACTATCCATACTGTAAGAAATATGATCGGCATTGTTGCAGATTGAAGAGCTAAGACAAGAAAAAAAGTAATCTAATAAAAGGAGACTCTAAGTCTCCCTTGAATTCTACGTGATATCTTCGTACAGACAGAGAATTTCTAATCTACGTATAAAAATCATCTACGACTAATAAATGAAAAATAAAAATTTCTGACGACTTTATATTTAATTTTCTTTAGTTACATATACTCTTCAGTTTTGTACATATCTTGGGGGCTCGGAAATTACCTAGCTAAGTCGAGCAATAAAGAATAACGGATCAAATTGTGACATCTTCAGACTCTTTTTTTTATTAATTATTTTGTTTTTCTACTTCCGATAATAACACGCGGTCTATATTGATCAGTCCGCATATGAGCGCGCTTGATTAAGGGTTACCTTAGGGTTCAGTAGTAAACGAAGAACCCTTCTAATTTCGCCATGTTAGTCTTTCCACCCGTCCTTCCGTCCGCGGTTTAGTTAAAAAACTATTGGTTCTAGACAGTTGTACTTTGGCATGAGTACACAAGTTAACTACGCCAACAGAGTTGTAAAGCGAAATTTCCAAAAAAATATATATTTTAGGGTACAAATAAAGTGAAGATGATAATTTTTTTTGTCTTCCCCATAGTCTGATGCATCGTTGGATAGGTTTTTCAAAAACATTGGGGTTGTGTGAAGGCCGTTTTTCGATTAAGTCAACCGTTTATAAGTTATTAAGCTTTAAAGACCTATTTTCGTTAGATTGAAATGTCCTCACTCTAGCAACTAAACGGTCGTTGGTAAAAATTCAAACGATACGGCAGTAGTACCTTTTTTACAATGAAGTTAAAAAAAATAACAATCACAGTTAAGTTGGTGTTGAAAATTTCGAACAACTCCATAGAAAACAACAAAAGGTTTTCTTTTTACTTTTTAATGGTTTTCGTAGAATAAAGGTACGTTTTAAATTTAGTAATTCTCTAAAATCATACAAAATTTATATGTGTGAAAGGTTCTTTAAACAAACATAGGAAATGCACACTACAATGCCGTGTTAACGAAGCCTTTTTAAGTAACACTTTGTAGGATTTTTTTAACTTCAGACGCAATACGCGAAAATATTGTGATAAAACATTTATTTTATTTATTTATTCACGGTTGGTTTCACAAACGTCCAATAAGGTTTAATGACGCCTTTTAGATTCTTTCATTCATCTCATTTTCATTTTACATGTAAAAATTAATTAATTTACTTGACATTGGCAGAATTGTGCGAAATGCGCAGATAAGCCATTAATTAAAAAAGAAGAAGAAGAAGAAGATCTAGTGAATGTCAAATTTGTATGGGTGATGTCGATTTAGATTTACACACACAAACAGTGTATTGCACAGTCTATGTCTATTGTCAACAAAGTATTAGTTCTTTACATACACAAATCATATGTATCCACAGCTTATACCATAATACATTTTTGCAAAAATAAAATAAAATATTTTCTCTGACACTTATAGTTTTTATGTAAAAAAAACAACGAAATTATAAAATGTATCAAAACATGCATTTTTATGTGCAACGAGGAAGTATCTATCGACTCCAGCAAAAGTTGATTTTTGCAGGAAACGAATGGACCAAAGATAGTCATTTCCGTTCCTTTTAACTAACATATTAAAAAACTGTAATTGGCAAAATTGGAAACTAAGATATCAATACAAATAGAATATGAATTATTTTTGAAAACTAATTTCAATTAATTTCAGTCATGGAGAAATCAAGAAAGTACCGTAGCGACATCTAGTTCGATTTCGTAACTATAGTTTCTTTTTTGGATGATGTTTATAATAGTGTTGATAAAAATTACAGGTAAATGTATATACCAGTATATATAACTAACTTTACCAGCTAAGTGTTATTTATCATATAAAATTTATTCGCAAGAAAAGTACAAACAGACCCACCATTCATGAAACCATGTTGCACTTCTATAATGTGACGATTTATACAACTACACAAAACAACGGTAATTGGTGATTCAAAAACTGGTCTGTAATTTTTATTTCCGATTTAATACCTTTTTTTGTGAACGGGTAGAATTCTAGCTTTTCTACATTCAACAGGAAAATATCATGACAATTTGAATAAGTTGGTCAATGTTGTAGTTAATTCCTTAGCATAAGATTTTACGAATAAGCTTTAGATCTCGTCAGGGCCAGGACCCAGGATTTTAAACTAACCAGGGTACCGAACTAGGGAACAAAATGTGTAATCTAGGTGTTATTTTACATACTTAATGCTTATAAAGCCATTAAATGAAGGTCAATTATTATAACTCCAAATTTATTTTATTAGGATACATACGTCGTGTTTTGCACCACGTTTTCTATCGCGATGGAATTAGAAATAATTTCAAGAACAATTTTTAAAGTTCGTATATCATACGGATAAAAGGTAACCACATTACTCGACGGGAGGTCCAATTTCTTGCAGTACTTTTATCTTCAATTTTTATTTTACTGTAACAACGATAAATAAAAAATGAATATTACATAATTCATTTTATTGCATGCATTTTAATTTATATTAACAATGATCAGAGCAGTTACAATTGCCGTTAATATTTCCAGTACATCCAAACTGATTGTAAGCTGGAGGGAAATGGCACTCGCATTTTTTTAGTCTACATGTTTCTTTTTCAATAGTGGCACATGGACTACTGCAAGGTTTACTTTGATTATCATCGGAATCATAATTTTTTGGTGATACTGTACCTTGTCTTTTAATTTCATCGATATTTAAACTCGATTGTCGTTTAGATAGTTTGGAATCATTAATTGGCAAGTTACAAACTGGTGATGAACAACATTTCTCTTTATTAGAAGAATTTTGAGGATCGTTTTGTCTATGTTGTTGATCTCGCCCTGGCGTGGTCAATTGTTTAGGGCAACATGAAGAAGCATCATATGGGCAGTACTTTATTTTGGAGTGTTTTCGAAGATTCTGGTCATTTGTTAATTCATGTTCGACATCATTGCGGAACTCTTTAAGCTCATTAAGTGCTTCTTTTATTGTTCTGACTCGCACTCCAGCAGAACAACAACCGGAGTATTGGTTAGAATCATTTGATTCTTTATAAGAAATATTGCATGATCCCATACATTCTAAATCGTTGTTTTTCTCGTCCACTTGTTGATTTAAGCTTTGACTTGAGTTTATTGGTTTCCCACAAATACCACACTTTGGAATTGAGCAATATACCTGCTGCAAAGAAGACAGCGAGGCTTTTTTAGAATAAGATGGTTGAAGACGTGAATGTTCACCTGTCGTACTTAGTGAGATCTTTTGGCAACGGGAACAAATTTCGAAACTTTGTAAGACCGGTCGAGTAGACGGCGCATCCTTTTCTTGGAAATTTTTATTATTTTTTGGCATCTAGGATTAGGTAAGCTATACTTTACCGTGAACATAACAATAAACAGATCGGAATAAAAGTTAAATTCAGTATTTATGGTATAAGTTTGCTGATTTTTTCCATATTTTACAATCTTGTTTTATTATATTACGGTTCACATAATGCATTGGATCAATGAACTTTTAGTCAACTTTCTGGACATTAAAATGATAAAATGACAATAATAATCAAGAAAGTCAATATTGTCAAACTCTGTGGTGCAAACTTGAAGTTTCAAGATTGCATTGATTGAAGATTGATTGATTGTGGAGTATAGCATATATTATTGTTTTAAATATTTTCATAGGTTTCCGTCAGGAAAGTTTATATAATAATAATTTCAATTAATAATTTTTTTGTGTTTCTGCAATATTGACTTGATGTATAGGTCACAGATATTTTTATATTAAGTACAAGACTTATTGTATCCTTAAAGGCAAATCATAGTCTAGTATCAATTACATTTACTATGTCACTATGAAAACGTGTCCATTACCGCTGGACGTGCTGAAGTGCACCTCATTGACTATGGCTAGGGTCTGGTTCCTAATCTGCGGCCCCAAGTGGACGCCTGGTTTTATATTTGTTCTTATAAGAGCGCACTTCATCTCGTGAATCGCAAGCAGCCACCTCTCATTATAAGAATTTTATTTAACCAACACCGACGACGAAACAAATAACTATTCGAGTTATACTCGTTAACTCGGGAGGTGAGCAGTATGCACCTGTGTTTACACCCATGGAAATCTGACAAATCTAGCTTTATGACTTTTCTCATTATTTGTACCGCAATGAAACACAAAAACGGACATGTATCACAGAAACAAGAGTGAATTATAATCCGTATTTTTGCTGTCGCATGCTGTATCATACATTAGAATAAAATAGACATATTTCCGTCACGACAATATAAGCACACTAAATGTTTAACCAATATGCTTTTGTGTCACCACACACAAGTCACAATCACAACATCATAACACCAATATGTGTTTCCCCCTTTAGGGGTTAAAATAGTCTATGTCAGTTAACGTCAATGTCCACGTGATTACATAATTTCCGTTGTAACGCTGTCATCGACGCTGCAGTTTCCTTTAACACTGTGCGTCAGGCGCGGTGTAGTGTGTTAAAATAATTTCGACCGGATAAAAAACATGTAAGTATTAAATCACGACTTAACGTTTTATACAAAATAAAGCTTTTTAAATGGTCGTTTCTATTATGTCAAAAACATCATTAATACTTATTCCAATGTTACATTTCCTTACGTAACGTAATGGAATTATGTTTGCACGTGACCTTGCTCCATAAATTATTTTCAATTTAGGAGTCTTTAACTATAATTCAATTGCTTTATACATTATATTTTATTCTCATATAATTTATATTAATTATTAAGGCTGTTTGTACGTATAAAAGTATATGTATTGATTCGCGTTTGATACTGTGGAAGTAGTATTGATTATGTCAATCCTACTGACATAATTCTAAGTTCTTAAATTTGATTTGAGAATTATCTTACATGTGTGAATGAAGAGATAACAGAATAGAACACCGCAACTTTTGTGAGATTTAAAATAAGAATTTCTATGTTTTGTGACGTTATCTAACCTTCGGTGTATTGAGATTGGCACTGGCATTGATTTTCGACTCTATCTTCAGGTAGAAAGGTCAACTGTTCTAAATAAAATTGAACACTTGACACTGACCAAATAACTTGGTGTGCTTTTAATAAGCTAATAACAATTATTTATATTACTATTTATTTATTCTAAATAAATGTAGGTACCAAATTAAGTATTGAAACATCTTTGTATCATCAATAATGAGGTTAAATTCTTCGAATGTAATGTTTATTATTCTTGAAGAGTTCACAAGAGAGTTAATCCCATATTCTGTCGAGTTTATAAAAAAATGTAACATTAATTATTGCTTAAAATATTTTGAGAAAACTGGCAAAATTACAATTAAGTTTTTACATATGCTTTTAAATTAACTTTATCTGAAAATGTAGAGGTAGGTGTTGTTCAAATACAGTATAATTTAGTACAAAAAATTAAATTACCCCCTGAAACATCAGTATTCATACGTGAATGCAAAGATAATCTATAAAGCCATAGAATATATAATTTTAATAAAACTAAAATAAAAAGGTGATTTTACAGACTAAGTTCACTACAAGTTATTCAAAATTTTCATTTTCAACGAAACCTTATTATTTATAATTTGTGACATAAGAGATAAAGTAATGCAATGAAAAGCTTTGAAATACTCTGTTACTATAGCATTAGTCCCAAGCCATCAAGGGATAAAGGGAAATGATAGAGCTGACCAACTAGCTAAAGAAGCGATAAAGTGCGGAGACCCCTTTCTTAATTATTTTAATGACTTAACCCGTCTCGCGATTTTTTGAACACACAGGTGTGCAAACGCTTCAAGTGCGTTTTGTGACTTAATCGCGTGACGGGTTAACTTCCTTTTCTAAACAGTATTTATTCGATTCTTATAGAGATCTTAATGGACAACATTATTTTAAATTACAGCCCAGTACTATGGTTTACTAAAAATATGATTAAAAAATCCGTTAATATTATTATGTCAACGTGTCATAGACATGTGTGTACAGTGATCTTTGTGCGTTTAGAAAGGATGTACGAGGTCTCGACCATATTTTCTTTTCTTGTCCTTTAAGTGTCTTCCTCTTTCCATAATTACTTGATAACACAAAAGGTTCCATTACCTACTCAAGTATCATGTTTACAATATCAAAATATGACAATGTCTATATATTTTAAATAAACAATTATGTATTTATGATCTATCTTAAACTAGCAACTTATTAAATCTGCAATTTGTATTCATGATTTGTTTTCTATTTAAAGACACTGTTTCCTTACTTTTTACTTTAACAACTCTACACTATTGCCATATAACAAAAAAAAATGAATATTCAAATTTGTCAAAGACTATTTTTATTTTGACGAATATCATCATTAATGTTAAAAATGATTCATTAAAAAACTGAATATTAAACAATTGCAAACTGATGTGAACTATATATAATGCTAATTCATCTTCACATTATATTATACACAGAGAGCTTTTAACAAATTTGTGCTAAAGTTTAGCATAGTAGAATTTTTATTAACAACATTATTTTGATGTTAAGTTTCTGCAAGTTATTTTTTTAACGAATGACATTTTAGTCCTCCTAATGCATAATTTTTAACTTGTTGACGATGGGAATAACTAGAAGATACAATGGTAGAATTAAAAATACTTTTTTTTAAGTCTCTTAAAAATTTAGATTATAGATACTAGACAGTGGATAGCAGCTCGGTAGCAGACGCGTGTCGACGGTGTGCTTATAAAATCCAATGAAAACAGATTCTTCATGAAAATTCTTGAATTGTGTCTAAGTGAACCTGACTTTCAATGTGTAAACTTCTTTTAAGATTGTAATGCTTTTTTTCCCATCAGAATAATGTTTTCATCCCTAATGGACGTGGCGCGGAATTCGCCATTCCGCGGACCGCTCTCACCGGCGCAGTGCCAGGCCAACACAAACACACTGGCGACACCACAGATTGAACAGGTAACCAATAATATTGTACAACAACATCTTCAGCCTATTGACGTTCTGACTTTACTTAAAATCAAATAGAGAATGGGCCATATATTGTAATGTTAATTAAATCTATTTGCCTAATGATGAGAACTTGTAATTGAGGGGGGCTGCGGTTAGGAGTTCTTCGTGCTAACGACCTGAGTAGTCGTTCTGCTGAGCAGCGTAGACGATGAGCACCCAACTGCAGAGTTGCCCAATGACCCAAAGATTATGAGAGCTGAAGGCATTATGTACGAGTTGTAAACTACGTTGGTTGTTATCGTTTCGTTTGTCCTTCTATACAAGGGGTGTTCAAAAAGTAATGAGAACGATGTACCCATTGCAAATTATTTGAACGATTAATTCATATTTAGCACACTTACTGCCCAGTGCACATACCTCCATTAAACTAAAACGACATTAACGACACAAATTTGAAATTCATTTCAGCTTAAAGGCGTCATTAAACCTTAATGGACATGTAACTAACCGTTTCGGTTTCTGTAATAATACCTAACTGATTATTTTGAGATACTAGTTCTGAATAACACGAAACTGAAATTGGTGTGTTGAGTAAATACTTTTGCTATACTTTATACCTATATGACAATGGCAAGGCAAAACAAAGATCAATGACGATCCGCGCTCGGTTCACTGTTCAAAATTACACAACAAAAAGCTGAAAAATAATCGAATAGCGGAATATTTGTTATTTTTTTTAAAGTTACTCTGATTTATTTTTCGACTGATTCGATAATTGACACCCCGTTTAGATGATTTGCGTTTAGAGATTGAAGTTGCAAGTGAGTTAGTGTTGTGTGCTCTTTGATGACTGTCTTAAGGTTTGTTTTCGTTTGTCAGAGCACGATGGCCGCATCAGCTGTCGTGCAAGGCGACTCCTGCGAGTTCGCCTCACCTAAATACTTCGCCCTGTGCGGTCTAGGTGGCATCCTGTCTTGCGGTGAGTAGGAATCATGAGTTGAACGATGACGGTGGGTTAGAAGTGAGTAGTTGCAGTGATTGCTGATCTGTAGATAAATATATATCTATGAATATACAGTCAAAATGATAATTGAATAATCTCTTTTGTAAGACCTGCCCTGCGATGCTGTGATGCTTCGCTCAGGTGTCCATACACACTTCAAACCACGGCATCTGCTCAATCTTGAATTGGTAATAAATAACGTTCCGCTGCATAAGTGAAAGGAGTTTCAAAATGACACAGGAATAGAATATCTGAGACACATATAATCAATCAATTTTGTTTTCTATTTTTATACAAAAAATGGAATCCATAGAATTTCTTCATTAAATAAAGTGAATTCGGACACATGAGTGAATTTGTATTTGGATACGGATTTTTACAGAATCACCCTGTTGATATCAACAGGATGATTAAATGTTTAGAAATATCATTAATTTACCTTTAACCTAATTTATCACAGTTAATTTTGTTTAATTTTTATTTTATACTGCACCCTCTTAACTATACTATATAGTATGAAGACAAAATATGAATTCAAAATAATAAAACTGTCAAAAGTAAATCAGTATTATCATCATCCGGATTAACATGATTGATTTTATGTTACTACTAACTTTAAATTACATGATATACATTATATAATCCAAATTTCGCTTTTTATATAGTAACTCTAGACTTCCAGCTTGCATTATCTGCCTTTATCATATCCTTATTCACAGACAATGTCGACATGATAAATAGGTATTGATATGTTTCTAAATATATATAAATGTTATAATCTTAATTAATGATGTTATTATATGCATGGCATACTAGGTTCTGCTAATATTTCAAAAAATAAGTATTAACTGTTTTCCTTCGTCCCACGTAAATTATAGCTAATATGATCTGCACATGATGCAGCTTCCGGTTAGTGAAATAATTTTTATATGTTGCTTGATATTAGCTGACTTAGATAATAGGATAATTTTAATGCCACTAAACATTGCCCTAGGGACCACACGGGCGAAAGCTAATTATAATTATGTAAACAACTTCTTTACAAGTAAAAAATATAAATACTTTTTTACTATATCTATTGTGATTTTATTTTTAGAGATAAAAACTTTTTGTTAAGTACTTTTTATAAAAATAAAAAATATATGTCATTTAAGAAAATTAAGAAGATTTACACATTTTATGAAATTTAAGAAAATATCTTTCGTACAAACAACAAAATCAAAAATCTTGAATGATAATCTATATATTTAATGAAAATGAAACAGAATGGGAGAAAAATAATGGAAAATTTTAAGCCGTTTTCCATCCACAGCACTTAGGGCGTGTTTATGTGAAAAATTATTTCGTACCGACACGATACTGCGTCTGCCGCCAGGGTCCATCTAAGGTGTCGAGCCGGCCAATTGCCATGAGCGGCAAAAATAAGCGGCCACGAAATTAGAAGCGCCGGCATTCTGACGGAAGTCCTCAATATACTGTCGTTAATAACGAAAATACGTGATACTTTCAAGTGTTTCACGTACAGTATCCAGCAATCAAAGACTTATATTGTACTATAGGTATCACCCATACTGCCGTCGTGCCGCTCGACTTGGTGAAATGTCGTCTCCAAGTGGACGCAGACAAGTACAAGAATGTAGTGAACGGCTTCAAAGTCTCCGTCCGCGAGGAGGGACTACGCGGTCTAGCCAAGGGTTGGGCACCCACTTTCATTGGATACTCACTCCAGGTAGGTACTAGTTCTCTTTTCGGCGAACTGCCAATCTCTGCCATAGATTCTGTCCCTATTTTCAATGAAGTAAAATTTATAATGAGGCAGTGACGGTCCCCGGACTAATAAGACCTACTTCGGAGGGAAACAATCGGCGCCAGCTCAATGGCGCCTTAGGCAAAACATGGGAACTTGGTGCCCTAAGCGAAACACTAGAATTACGCCAATAAAAAATCACAGCAAAATAAGACTAAATCAGTTACACTGATTAAAATAGTGTAATGACCAGAGGTCAGAATGAGGTAGAGTTATTTATGTACTTGCATCGAAATGTTGATATTAATGTAGACCTTCCCGGGATTTCTTTATTTTTTCTTTCTTTATTTCTTTCTTTCATTGATGTAAGTTTGGCAACGTCGTGCGTGCAGTAGTTTAAATTGTGTAAAAGTAAATAACTTTTTATTTAAAAAATCACAGGATTTTTTCGGCTCTTTAAAATTAATCTCGGGATTTGAGGCATATCCACTTTATTCTTTCGCTGTATGAAATCAGTGTAAGTACATGAATAACTCTACCTAATTCCGACCACTGGTAATGACAAAAGAAACTTCTTAGGTACTACAAATGGTCTGAAAAATTTGTATTTTTCAATACCGCAGACATGGATTCATAAACTATGAACAAAAATATTTTTTTAAGGCTCAAATAATTAGAGCAAACATAATCTGTTGCCTGTGCCATGGCCCCCTAAATACGAGCGCCCTAGGTAATTGCCTAGTTTGCCTTTATGAACGGCCGGCCCTGGAGACAATTACCCTTGAGTACACTCATAATTCAGTAGGACCACACCTTCAAGTCCTACAGTTGCTAGTATACCCTGACGAGTTTTAGACTGTAACATCAACATCAAGTCGATTGTTTACCTACCTCAGATAGTGATAATGCTCAATTTATGGAGTACAGAAATTATATAATTTTATAAATAAATAAATATTACACACATACATTTTTTACATTCCAAGTAGCTGAAGTGAGTAGTCACCAAAAGTGATAATTTTTTTATATTGGTCCAGTCGGGAATCATAACTGGGATTTTTTTTTTAATTTTATTTTACAAATTCAAAACTAAATTCATAAGTTATTATACTGTGATTAAAAAATAATACCAATTGTTCCTACTGAACGCATTGAAGACATACAATTTTATGAGATTATATATCACAGAAATTTTACTCTCGTCTCTCCGCTATCTCCCTTTAACTGGTTATCTATCTCTCTCTACAGGGTCTCTGCAAATTCGGCCTGTATGAAGTGTTCAAGGTATTATACTCTGGTATGCTTGATGAGGAGACGGCATACGTTTACCGTACCGGCGTATACCTCGCCGCGTCGGCTTCGGCTGAGTTCTTCGCTGACATCGCCCTGTCACCACTTGAAGCCGCCAAAGTAAGTTGTTTTATGAATAGACCCCGTTATCGAAGGTGCAATTTGGTAGCTATCATCATCATCATCAGCCCTTTTACGACCCCACTGCAGGGGCTCAGGCCTTCCTTGTGGATGGTTAAGGAGGATGGGCCATGACCCTCCACGTTGGCCCAATGCGGGTTGGAGGGTATTTACGACTGCAAATGCAGCGGGGATCAACGGCTTTACCTGCCTTCCGAAGCACTGAGTAGCACGACATAACACTTTTCGGTCACCCATCCCGTGACCGACCCTTGCGAAAGTTACTTAACAACAACGATCACGGGCCGCAGCGCTTATCCATTACGCTACCGAGTTACTTTTATAGCTATTGCTAGTTATAGAGGTAGCTATAGCTAAACGTTTTTAAAGATGGGTGAAAATAAAGTGAAGGTTTTACCGTGACATTAGCTATCACGCTGACAAGACATTATTTACAGAGATTAAAGTAAGTCAGGTATACAGAATCAACCTAACACCTACTCAGCACTAGGTCTCAGACTACAGCAGAGTTAGTCTGGGAACCAAACATGCTATAATAGTACGGTATGCATAAAATGTGCAGCGCCATCTAGTTTGCAAACTTAGAACTTTTTAGCTATTCATGATGATGATAGATGTGTTATAATAATAAATTATAAAACTAAATCAATATCAACATTATAGATATTTTTGCCCCTTTGATTTTTTTTTGTGTGGTCTTAATTTTTCTTTCATTATTTATAATAAATAATAATCAGAAAAAAGATGTCAGCCGAAATAGACACGCCGAATATAAAGTGCGAAATTGACTCTATATGTTTTTTTTAACAACAGGTGCGAATTCAGACTATGCCTGGTTTCGCTAACACTCTACGTGAGGCGTGGCCCAAGATGGTCCAGAATGAAGGTTATGGTACGTTCTACAAGGGTCTGGCACCTCTGTGGGGCAGACAGATCCCATACACAATGATGAAGTTCGCCTGCTTCGAGAAGACTGTAGAATTGCTGTATAAGGTAAGACTATGCGGAAATTCATCAAATTTTTATTGCATCAAAATATAGTATGGTTGCTGACCAGAAAGAATTCCGTACGTTGACCTTTATGCCTACTGGTAGATATCGTACACAATTTAGGTCCACTTTACTGTGACAAAATTGGCTAGATGCCAGTGACGTAGCGTTTCTTAGCGGGGCCCTGTATTAAATTTGTTTGGGGGCCCTTATGTAGGGTAAAGATTTTTCACATAAGAAAAAAAAAAATGTATAAACTGTATGAATTTTAATCATATATACATCGATTATTATGGGATTCCCCTGTCAGTCTGACTTAAACGGAGACATCATGCAGCCCGGGAAATCGGTTGTAGGGTGTTGCCAACTTCGAAACGCACGTTGTACGTGGGAAAAAAATTGATGATGCTTATTTTGACTTTCGTGTTTCTGAAATAAAAAGAAATTTGGGAAGTTTTTATTAATTTTTTTCTTACGCACGTTGGGGGCCCCGTATAATTGATACGGCATATACGGCGGTAACTACGCCTCTGCTAGATGCATCTGTGCGAGTGCAATAGCAATATGTTCGCGCACGAGGGAATAATATGTAATGCCGGGTCAATGTAAGAAATTCTCTCTATTTGCTAACTGTGAACTTTTAGAGCCCAAATGAATAGTTTTTGCTCACAATTTCATTTAAAAATTCTGGACGAAATCCTGATAGCTGACCCCTGGCTTAGACGGAACAATTAGAATGATTTTCATTTAAGTCTAATATCCAATGGTAGCAGACGTTATCCAAATACCTATGTTTCTTTGTCTAGTTCGTGGTGCCGAAACCCCGCGACCAATGTTCCAAGGCAGAACAGCTGGTGGTCACATTCGCCGCCGGATACATCGCTGGCGTGTTCTGCGCTATCGTATCACATCCCGCTGACACAGTAGTATCCAAACTTAACCAGGTAAGAGTCACTATCTTCTTCTCGTTTATACCATTGTTTCAGTAACTGTAATAGGGATGATGACTAATTTTTGTTTGTTTGTCCGTCAGGTAGAGTGTTAAAAAATATTAAACACGTATTTTTTTATTTTTTTCGTATCATAAAATTACGGCGTTACATTGAGTTGAAATTCTGCATGACGTCACGTTAGAGTACGCTTTCTACTTAACTGTGACGTAGCGACCATTCCTCAACTTTAATGCCTGTTATCTAAGCTATTTCTTGTTAAATTGAAGTAAAAAAAAAATACGTATCTAATATTTTTCTATTATCTGACTGACGGACTAAATAGAATTGCATTTTTTTACCCAGTCATCATCCCTATTAATTTGTAGGTGTTATGTGGAGGGTATTAATAAAAGAGGGTAATAGAATACGCTATTTCATTATGATTATGATAAAGTAATGAATTTTAAGATTAAATGCTTATATTATATTGACAATGAATCTTGTTTGGGTTCGCTTCAATAAAATGTTGCCCGATGACGAAAAAAGCGTTTGGAGGGATACAATGGTTGTTGCCAGCGACTTTGGAACAGTCGCTATGCGTATCCGCAGCGTGGAACATCCGCTGTGCCCAATGAATACCAAGATTATGAGATCTGAGGGCTAATGTACTAATATAACTGACATACCGCTTATCTGCGAGAAGTGAAACACAGAAATGATGAGGTTTTTAAATGATATCGCCGAACAAAGTATTGAGTCGGCTAATTGACGGTTAGAACACTAAATTAAGAAATGTGTTAGAAATGGTAACTTTATGACATATAAATATAATAACTATACACTATTTTTTGCCTTAAAATAAATTGTAACTTTATTATTTTATAATTAACTTGCAATTACAAGAATCGAAATGAAGGTGTCCATGACGGAGCATCATGTGACGTCACATTATAATAAACTAACTGTCAATGTTTTTGTTAATAAAATTGAAAACAAATTTCAATTTGTGCTTATATAAATGTCAAAAATTAAAGCAAGCATTAAAAAAACAACTTTTTATTCATCAAATCGAAATGGCAACTGTGTAAAAGAATAGTCCAATTGTTATAGTATAGATAGTCAAAAGTTAATAGTTGAAGTGGTTTTATCGCCATAATTCCTAAATATTTAAAAATATGAAAACATTTGGCCAATCTTCATTGATTATAAAATTTTGAAAGTATTTCTCACAAATGCTAAGTAAGGGTGCTATCTTATTCGTCAATAGTGACATGATAAATCGGTGAGATAATAATGTGTTAAACACAATTGCTTATGTTCCAGGATAAGACAGCAACTGTTGGTTCAATTGTTGGCAAGCTTGGCTGGGCCGGAGTATGGAAGGGTCTCGGTCCCAGGATCATCATGATTGGTACACTTACCGCTCTGCAATGGTTCATATATGACGCTGTCAAGGTAATAAAATTATATGATTATGAATTATTTAAGTATTTTAAACCAGGGTTCACTGATATATATCATGAATGATATATAGTGATTGATATATATGTTGATGTATATCAATTGATATTTATAATATTTATTGTTAGTTTGAGTATTGAGTCTCAGCTTGAAAATTAACCAACCCGATGTGACACTTGCAACATTGGCCCAAAGTAACAATCTTACAAGAAATTTAGAAATTTTAAAATATCAAATATAAATTAAAGCCAGCAGCATTTATAGCTTTTCATGTGCATGATATATATTGGATAAATGAAAATATAGGACACTTTTATATTTATCATAAATATTTTTGTTAACCATGTTTTAAAGTAATATTATATTTCTACATCAACAATGATTATCATAACAACCAATTGTTCCTACTGAACTTGAAATTGTGGACAATATATAATAATGAGACTGAGTACATCTAACAATATTAAAACTTATGGGAAATCAAAATATCAATACCAATCTTTATTACCATTAGGTATGGTTGAGAATGCCGCGACCACCGCCAGCTGAGATGCCCGAATCCATGCGCAAAAGACTAGAAGCCGAAGAAGCTGCGAAGAAGAAGTGAATTACTACCGCCTAGAAAAAATAACAACATTGTATGAACGCCAGCAACTGACGTTATTCAAATAAGATCAACTAAACCTCCATTGTTAGCGATTATACCTCTTTCTCTTCCATTGACAAGATGTTACTATGTGTTAAAATACTTAGTACCTTAATGAGAAATTAACTTGAAGTGTATAGTGAGATAATCTGTTTTTTTTTCTATAATTTAGTAACTATTGTGGTTGAGATGAGAAAGGAAATAATGTGTTGTCAATTAAGTTTGATGTTATAATCTTGAAAATTGTGTAGGAATGGTGCTTACGATGTATTGTTTAGTTGGTCTACTCCTTTGCTGTTATAGCAAGCGAGTTATGTGCGATTTTACTAGTGTGATATGACACAAGTATCGGTATTTTCTGATATTCTTAGCTGGCAACCCCGCAGTGTTGTTATACTCATAGTGAAATTTGTACCACTCACCGCCACGTGTTACGTATAGTTCCCAATGTGATTACCACGTTAAAATGTATAAGTTCAATAAATAAATCATGTTAATTTATTATGAAATAAATGATTATTTTTATTTATTTTTCGTTTATTTTTTTATATCGTTTTTAAACGTATGGCGTATATGATTTGGTCAGAGTATGTATTCGATTGGTGATATCAATAAACTGTTTAGATTTACCTAACTTGTTTCAATTGCGAACCATGACTTTAAATTTTGAGTCTTACTCTCTAGTCTCGGCATTACCTTTTTTCATTTTAAAGTGACTTCTTACAGTTCGTTTTACTTATGTGTGCTATGAAATAAGGATAAACGGCCAAGTTACGTACTTTTGTGAGATAAAAGAAGTCTGTGGCGTTCCTGGACTTTTAAAATAATGAGCTTTATGAATTCATTTAGAAGATTATCGTGGCGTTGCTAGACTGATGTTAACCCAGCACAGCTACATTATTTCTTGATCACTTAAAAAAATGGCTATTTATCGCCGCTCTTTTTTTGGAATTCAACAAACCACAAACGGTGAGTTGTACAAACGTCCATTAAGGTTTAATGGCGTCATTAAGCTTTAATGAATGTCAGATTTGTATGGGTAATGTCGCTTTAAATTAATGAAAATTTTAATGGACGTTTGTGCAACTGGAAGAAAGTCTATGGGATGCTTGTAATTAAAAAAGTCAAAGATTTTAAAATTTACTTACCTACTCTAAGCTTATTTTTAGTTTATATTCGTTGGTATTTTTTTTTAAAGAAGGTTGTATAGTATTGAAACGTTTTTCTTTATAATAAAACTATTTAAATGTCAAGTTGATTTTCAACACCAGATCATGCAAAATTCCCTCAAAATGGGGAGATTTTTATATCGAAAGCGGGCTTTTATCTATTCTCTTTGATCTATCTCAGGGTTTTGGAAGGAAAAAAACTGATTTTGATCAGCCCTGCGATTCTGTAAAACTTCAAACCCGATTTCGAATCCACTCAGGTATCCGAATTCACTTCAAAAAGCGGCATCCGCTCAAACTTGAATTGGTAATAATGTTTCGTGAAATAAGTTAAGTGAGTTTCGAAATGATATAGGATTAAAATATCTAAGACACGTTTAATCAATCAATTTTGTTTAGTATTTTTAAACAAAAAATGGAATCAATAGGATTTCTTTACTAAATGACTAGAATTCGGACACATGAGTGAATTCGAATTCGGGTCTGGATCGTTACAGAAGCGCAGGGCAGTGGGGTAAATTTTCAAAGCAAATCACAACACTCGATAACAGTAGCTGTCAGTGTCAAATTTTAAAGGGATTTCTCAATAATTCATCAATTATTTATTTTATATAAAATTACAAAAAAATGTCAGAATTAATGTTGCCAAATAGAATAGAATAGAAATAGAACTACTACGTGTTCTTGTCGTTAAAATGGAAGAAACTCCGGCCGAAGACAGAATAATTGAGACGCAACCCATTCGAACTTCTCCAAAATGTGTTGGAAGATCTATCGTAATTATTTTACTCGGTAAGTTATTTTGGCTGAAATTTACATTTTACTAAAAAGTCTGAATTACAGACGTATTTTTAAAAATTTACCGAGTATGATTATCAATCAATTTAATTCTTTATGTGTATGAATACATACATACTAAATAAGTTCTATACCAAATACAAACTCTATTCAGCGGCGGCCCTAGGGTGGTGTGAGCGGTGCGACCACACTGGGCACCGTCACATGGGAGTCGCCGAAAACGGGCGTATGAACCATGAAGTTCTATCGAAGTTCATGCCAACATGGTAGGAAAAAACAAGGGTGTCTAAACAAGGATCCTAAACAGATATCTTCGAACATTTTTAACCCACATGACTGCCATATCTTGAATTTGGTGATAGCAGATAAATAAATCAGTTTCTTTATTTGAATGTCTCTAAAGACTATTTGTAGTATTTTATGGGTCAACAAAGAAGTGGGAAAGGAATAGAAGGACAATCACTAAAAAAGTTAGCGAAACTCTGGGAGAGTAGAGTGTCTAGCCTTGTCACTCTTCAGTTTGTGATGCCCTTTTCATGAATAACCGTATGACTCAGTTGTTGCATCAAAATCTTTGTCACTGATTCAGACCATGGACCAATTTGAATTTATAGTTAATGGTAGCTTGGTATGATATACATTTTCAAGTATGTTTACTTGTAAGTAAAGCTATGCAGTCAGAAAAACTGCTCTGAATTTGTGAAACATTACCAGACTTATACTTCTGTTCAAATAACAGCTTAGGAAGTAGCTTCTGAGGCTAGGATAGGTCTTTTATTTAAGCCAGTCTGCTACTGGAAAAAATTGATTTGAGTATGAAGCTGCAGATGAACCAGCCACAGATTCAGAAGAATTGTTTCAAACTAACCTCTTTTACCTTATGATAGATACTATTGAAAAAGCATTAGTTTACATGGTTTGGACAATTATCTAAATCCCATGATACATGGTCTTTTTTGTATAATATAAAAATAATTCCTGATAAGTGGTTATTGGAAAAAGCATGAATTATTTTAATTGCTGGGGGAAATGTGACATCATTAGCTGTGAATTGGTTGAGGAACTTTGAAGCCTAAACCCATTACCAAAAAAACTTCGAATAAGCAGAGCCACTAAAAGTTTTTTAACTTATTAAAACTAATGATTGGCAGAATATTTTCCTGAATGTTTCGACCACTCTTCGGACTTTGCTGACACAATGTAACTGTCACCAAAGGCAAACAAAGCTTCAGTAAATTAAAACTACGTAATTAAAACATACTTATGTTTGACTATATTATCAGATCTTGGAATTTTATCCATTGAAAATGAAATTGCCCAACAGTTACATTATTCCAATTTAATAAAAAAAATCGCAAGCAAAAGCAAGAAGTGAAGTGTTATTCTAGTTTTTTGAATGTATGTTCCATGCACGGTATTTTCATCTGTCAATAGTAGACCGATTTTAATGATTTATATATAATATAGCATGCATAAAATTGTATAAAAATATTTCTGGTTATACTGCTTGTATCTGGCTGGTTTTGGTATCATTAAAAAGTCTAAATTTTAAAAAAGACAACTCTGAATTCAAATTAGGAAAATGTATGATTTTTCACGTTTTTCTTACTGTCAAAATGAGTGAATATAATGAAGAAATTCAATACATTTAAAAATTTTATTTCAAAAAAGGTAAAAATGCAATGCATGACCGGAAAAAAAATTGTGACGTTTATGGTACTAGTACAGTTTCTGGGAGAGTAGCACAAATTTTCAGTCCGTAGGAGTTTTCAATCTGGAAATTTTGATGTCCTAGATGTACGTCGCTCCGGACGCTCTGTTACGGATAAAATGGATGCCAGTTTTGAAAAAGTAGAACAAGATCGGCATATCGGGCATTTAAAATATCCGGGATTTTCCCCATAGGGTTTTTTCTACCGCCTTGTGACCGCGGCGTAAGTTTCGTGGGCGCGGACGCGTTGTCGCTGTACGGATGTAGCAATAAATGGATTATGTAGTTGGGAGCAATTCAATGTCGTGTTGTCAAAAGAGATGGGATTAAAGAAATAAAAGAATTGTCAAAAGAGTAAGGAAAAACAAGTACGCTCTAGCAACGCAGCAACCGCGCAGCAGCCGCAAGAAAGAAAGTTGTGGCCTTGTGTCAACGAGCTTACTTACGCGCCTAACACGCGCCATTAATAAAATTTTCATCTCGACCGCACCAATGACGATAGTTCCCAGAAATTTGAACGTACTATTTATTATTTTTCAATTATTAAACGATAATAATGATGCATTGTTTTATTATTAAACATTAAATCAATTGTATTGTTCTTGATTTCCAATGTGTAATTATAAATATATTAATACTACCTCATGGTGTGTTTGTAAGTCCAGTCAACAATAAGAGTCATTAACTCGAATTTCTATAGATTTCAATGAATGCATTGTTCCTTAAGGTAAATGAAAATAGTCTTGTATTTTGAAGCATTACCTTTCATCAGATTTTTCTGGCTGCCATAGATTTTAATATTTAAAATGCTTGAGTAAAACTTCTAGGATAATTATTTATAAAGTATTTGTTATGGTTACTACAATGTCATTAAAAGTGCTACTATGTATACTAGTATATATTTCAGTTATCATCAAGTTGTACATAGTATGTTCAATTCTTTTCCTTCTGTAATGCTAGACAGAATCTGTAACATTACAGTTTAATAAATGAATAAATATTAGACAACAACGCACACATTGCTAAGATTCCAAATAAGCCATTGACTATATCCCAAATTAAACTAGGACAACACCATGGCCAGAGACAATATGGAACAGTTAATTTTCTATATTGATCTGACCGGGGATCTAAACCTTGTACCTCTGAGATGGTGACATTTTGAAACCACTCCCCCATGTTGGTCGTCATATTGGCGCAATGTAATGCTCGATCGTTTTCAGAAAAAATAGTCGGGTATTTGAAATTTATTCTCTACATGAATTTTATTTATTAACTAGATTTTTATATAAATTTCC